CGGATTGTACAGGCACACCCAAGAGCAAATACTTTTTGAAACATGCTGGATAGCATCAACAACCCAGCAAGAGCTTTATCATAAAGTGTGAACACGACTTTATTCTTCTCACCTTTTTTTTTCTCTGGTAAGGAAATGTTCTATATCTGATGATCGCTGTCATTTCCATATCAACACTTCTGATGGTATTTCTGCTTCTGATAAGAAAGATGAAAAACAAGAAACAGAGTAAGACACACAAAACACCAAACACACATCGCACACATGTGAAGCGTCACTAAGGCTTTGAGCAGACATAATGACCGATGTTTCCTCTCATCTCTTTAGAGGTTGTGTCAAGTGCTCATGTGCCACAGGAAGATGCACGGGAGGTGAGTTTTCATGAAGTTGGGAATTTATCTGAAGAAAGATCTGTAAGTGCCCTGATACATTTTCTTAGCTCAAATGAGAATCAGGATTGTTTTCTTGCTGTTAGCACTTTTTTCTTTTGATGAAGATAACACATGGAATCCCATGGAAGACGTCCTTTTCCAAGGGCTTGTCATTGTTTTCTTTCCAAAATTAGACTCATAATTCCCACAAAGGAAGGCAAAACTAACATTAACCCACAAGAAATCCTTTATTCTTTAACAAGAGAGCTTCTAGAAATCAGCCAAATATTATTAGTCTCTGTGTTCACGCTGGTCACGCTCCTGATAGCAGTCAAGCCTCACTTTCCTCCTGCCTACACTTAACACTGCAATGCATGATGGTAATTTTGCTTCGTTGGTGACCTTCGGTTGTTCACTTCTTCTTACCCTGTTGTCCCACTTTTTTCTTTTTCAAGGCTGTTGAATCTGATGACATCCGACTTGAAGATCAGCAACCAGTGAGCCGACATGAAAGGTCGTCGACCCTCTACTCCTCTGCAGATCCAGACAGCATCTACATGAATTCCTCCAACCACCAAGACACCGAATCAGCAGCTCAGGGTGACAACTACTATTCAAACGACGTTCCTCTAAATCAAGCCTCCTTCTCCGGGGTCCATTCAAGAGGGGCATCTAACAGAGCAGTCACAGATCAACAATTGAACGATTTATACTCTGTTGTTCAAAAACCCAAACAGCATATCAAACCCACGAGGAAACCAAATCATTCCGGAGGCAAAGACAATGACTCTTTTTATTCTCTGGCTCAGCTAACAACTTAAATCTGATTACGGGGATGTAACGATACATCACGCTACAATTAAAAATTGATAGAAACGTGGACAATTTTAATCGTTGAGACAAAATATATATACTGCAATATTCAATTTCAACCAGCAGGTGCCATATTTTGTTTTATATATGTAGAGAATTTACAGTTTTCATTTATTTATATTCACTCCAATCTCATTTATAAAAATCAGAAATACGTGAAAAAATATATTCTAAACCAAGTATCGTGATACATATTGCATCGTGATGTCTATCTTATTCTGAGTTATCTTTACATCCTTAGTGGTTGATGTAATCAAAGACGGTACATTCTGCTGTGATTAAATAATAATATTAGTTAAAGTGACTTTTTGTGACTTAAACAAAACATGATCCAAAGATCTAAACGACTCTATGGTCATTACATGACATGTTATTAATTCATTGTACAAATACCATAATTAGGTGAATAATTACAGTTGAACTTTGTATAAATATTTTGTAAAAAGACAGATTGTTAAATAGTGTATGTGTGAAGTTGCTTTTGCTTCTGCTTACACACACAATATCACTCAAACTACTGGCACTTTCAATCAATCTCCTTACACAGAAACACTCATTGTTCTTAACCTTCAAAACAGAGTGTTTTATTCTGAAAATAAACTGGATGTTTTAATGTTGTTTCAGTCTGACTTCCCGTCCCGCTCAATCTTTTCTGTGGTAAATTGATGTGCCATGCTCCGGCATCTGGCAAAAATAGAAGACTTGTGTATCTGCTAATGAGGGCTCCGTACTGTCGGATCTGAGAAGCAGCGCAGCGGAGCCGGTGGAAGCACACACATTGACTGAAGTAAAAACCCATCTGCCGGAACGGAGCAGAGACGGACCGAACACGCATCTGGTGGAAGTTAGGCTTTAGTGTGTGAATGAAGAAATCCCACCCAAGTATTGATAGAAGCAATATATCCATGTTTAGAGAATTGTATTGGCCACAATAGATGTCAGTCATCGACACATTTGTAATCAATAGGCCGTCAGAACAGGGGGAGGCACCTTCTTTCAACTCAGGCTCTCATTGGCTGTTATGAGGTGTCATCAAAAGGTCAGCGAATAGCAGAGTTGTTTTCTCAGTTTTGTGGATCCTTATGGATGTAACATGTTTGTATTAAATCTTTTACTGGATTTATATTATGGGGAATCATGTTTGGTGGATTTGGTGGAATGGTTAAAAGATGCTGTCTGTGTTTGTCGCTGGTCTGACCCACACACACTGGGCCATCAGTGTGTGTGTCTGCTGTCATGGACATGTGTAATATCGGTTTTCAAGAAGTTTTCTAACAAGTTTCAACAAAAGAATTCAACAAAGTCTTGATGCCTATGCTTAATTCCTGTTCCCTCTTCAGAATCAGAATCAGAATCCGTGTTTTTGCAGAGTACATTTACACATACAAGGAATTTGATTTGATGTTTTGGTCCAAAACAATTAACAAGGAAATATAAAAACAGCAGAGTTCCTGCGGACAGCTTTTTCTGTCATTGATTATCTATCAAACCTGTTTTTTTTTCAGTTTCTGCATCATATTCACTTTTCACCTTTTAACATTAAACTTTATTTTGTTTTCTCAGAATACTGTTCTGTAGCTGATGACCAGGGTTAAATACGAATACAAGTTCTACCTGCATGGTTAAGTCATACTGTGGAGACTGATGCTTGCTTGTGGTTGGTGCATCTTTCAGCCCTCTGTTGCATGTGGTTAAGCGTCATGAGCGCTTTGCTGCTGTGGATGTTAAGTGTCAGGTGTTTTCAATAAAAAAGTATCTTTGAAGTATTTTAAAATGTTTACTTTCTCTGCTATCTATTTAAATTCTGAATAAAGATATATTTCTCATTTCATGTCTGTATTTTGGTATAATTCAAAAAATTGTCTTACACAAATTAGACCTTGTATTCTGTGGGAATGTGCGTGTGCGTGTGTGTTTGTGTGTTTGTGTGCAGGCGTTTGCGTGTGTGTGTGTTAGGGAGGAGCTTCAGCCTTAGAAATGCTGTGAAAGAGGAAGTTCTGGTCAGACTACCATGATCATTTCTTTTTCTCACATACATTTGTTGTTCTGATCTTTGCACCATCATTTTTTACACGATACAAATCTTTGTATACGCTTGTTGCCCTGTGTTTTCAGTGTTTGTTACAACACCACAAGAACCTGCAATTCTGGAAGAAGTCTGCCATTTTGTGATCTGATACCTAAGAGCTGTTTTTATGGTTCTGTTAGTGAAGTACTGCATCATAGTGAACCCTGTGGCACCATAACGAAGCTCGGCAAATTTGGCTTGGAAGTTTAATTTGTTAACAGTTTAGTAACATTCATTGCATGTTGTGTTCCCAAAGAGTGGAGCAGCTGATAGAGTCTATCAATCCCTCCAGTCGATTACAATGGATGAACACCAAGTCTACAGCACGATCACACCAAACAACGAGGTGACACACAACACACTTTGCCCTACTTGGGCTAATACCTTAAACTCTAACCTGGTACTCCCTGAAAGCAACACCAAGCTCTCTATGACACACACTCTGTCTTTGATACAAACACAAACACACACACAAATTCAGTTAATAGAAGGAAACATATATATGTGCCTCGACCATAACTTCCATATCTTAAAATAACACCAACAAATATTAATACTGACTGTCCAGCCTAGACAATAACGCAGAACTTCCACCAGATTCATGTGCATTGTGTGTGAGCTCCAACGTCCCTCCCTTTCTGTTCACACGGAGGAGTTTAGCGCAAGCGGCAGACCAAATTGACCTTGTTTAGAGCTGTAGTAGCCTGTGGTCTGCATTGTTGTGTTGGGCTATAGTGCTCTTTAGTTAGCTCTTAGCTTCACATTGCATGTAAATTGACACAGAATGACTTTGATCTAAAAACTCTTATGTGACATCCAAATAATCAGTGAGTATATTTTCTTCTTCTCTCTAGTCCTTGACTAAAACAGTTTTTATACACAAGGGGAGGAGCCGGTCGTCCCGTCCATGTAAACACGGCTCTGACAACAACACAGCCAGCGGGACTCGAGCTTCTCACTCATTGTAGACAGTCATGACTCAGAGACACATTTACACAGGATACACTGGATTTATGATATATTTATGTGTAACATGTTGCACATTCTCCCTTTAAACAAAAAACATTGTTTTTTATCAATTTACAAACCATATTCACCTTCTAACATTAAACTGTATTTTGTTTTCTCAGAATACTGTTCTGTAGCTGATGACCAGGGACACACGCTGTGGCTCCATTTGGATTCATTTAGACAAACACACATGTATGGGTGCTTGGAGTGTTTAGAGTACATGTTCTACCTGCATGGTTAAGTCATACTATGGAGACTGATGCTTGCTTGTGGTTGGTGCATCTTACAGCCCTCTGTTACATGTGGTTTAGCGTCATAAGCGCTTTGTTGCTGTGGCTGTTAAGTGTCAGATGTTTTCAATAAAAAGTATCTTTGAAGTATTTAAAGTTTTGTATTTTCTAGGCTATTTTTTTAAATTCTGAATAAAGATTTATTTCTCACTTCATGTCTGTATTTTGGTATAATTTAAAAAATGGTCTTATTATTGTACCTTATGTTCTGTGCGTGTGCGTGTGTGTGTGTGTGCGTGTGTGTGTGTGTGTGTGTGTGCGTGCGTGCGTGTGTGTGTGTTAGGGTGGAGTTTCAGCCTTAGAAATGATGTGAAAGTTCCGGTCAGACTACCATGATCAGTTCATACATTTTTCTCACATACATTTGCTGTTCTGATCTTTGCACCATCATTTTTGACACGATGAAAATCTTTGCGTACGCTTGTTGTCTTCTCTCTGGTAAGTTTTACATTTGTAGAGCTTTACTAGAGCTTGTGAATAAACTGCAGCTTTTCAGTGACTTACTCCTTTGTTTGTTGGCTAATGTCATTGAGTCAGTAAAGTTTTCTTTGCACCATTATTGTTCTACACCATTATAAAAATAAATGTACATATTTAACTTTATTTTCACCTGTAGCTCTGAGTGCGGTGCAGATGAAGACTGTCAACATAGATAAACGTGTCGGGGAAAATGTGACCATCAGATGCTCAGGCTGGGGCGTCTGGACGTATGTAAAAGAGAATGTGAAGTACTTTTGTCCGAGTCCTCGTACGGAAAAAAAAAACACATTATCATCAAAGCAGAATTTGGTTGGATCAAATGTAAGGATCGAATTCAGTTAACCAACAGTGAAAATGTTTTATATGTGACCTTCACTGATCTTCAAAAGTCAGATGCTGGAAAATATTATTTAATATTGAGTAGATAAGTCTATTTTTTATTATTAATGTTCTGGTTTAGTGAATCTCACACTTCCTGATGGAGTCATACTAATACTAATTTCTTCCACAAAGCCATGTCAGAACTTGGATTGATTGATTTATTTAAAGGGGGGGACCAAAGTGCCCCTCGTTTTTTGATGATCTTCTTTATGTCATTGATTATCTATCCAAATGGAGCGTAGCGTTAGTTCAGGCAGGCCACGGAGTCACACTCTGTTATCATGCCAGAGTTTCGGTAACAACTGACCTCAGGCAGCCGCATCAGCTGATGGCCAGCTGATTTGCTTCGAAGCGTCCTATTGGCCAAATAGTACATATGCCACCTTATTTAAACTGCTCTAGCCTGCCTACTTTTGCTGCTCCCTCTGCAAGCCGCATTTCCAAGCGCATTTGCAGCCCTTCTCCTCCTCCTCCTTTTCTGCTATTCTGACTTAATCAATGTCATGCTTGTCATTGATGCTTGCTCTGTCGGGGTTTGCTGCTTATCTCCATGCCTTATAGCTTTCCTTGTATGCACGGAAAGGGCAGGAATGTGTGCTGTTCCTGGAGATCTCTCACAGAGCCATACCGCCAAATATAAATAATTGCGTCAAAGTATTCTTTTGACAAAGAATACTGACTGAACTATGTTTTTTGTCAGTTTCTGCAACATATTCACTTTTCACCTTCTAACATTAAACTTTATTTTGTTTTCTCAGAATAATGTTCTGTAGCCGATGACCAGCCGATGCGGCTCCATTCAGACAAACACACATGTATGGGTGCTACCTGTTTAAAATACAGTTTCTACATGCTTGGCTAGGTCATACTGTGAAGACAGATGCTTTTTTGTGGTTGGACGAAAGAAACGGAGCGAGGGGCAGAATACAGATTAAAATGAGAAAGGGGGTGATAAGGAGCAAAGAGATGAGAGAAGAAGAAGGGAGATCGTCTGAAGAGAAAAGGAGTCAGGAGTAAAAGGTCAAAGAGGCAGGTGAAGGATGAAACGGAGAGGTTAAAGAGGACTGTGTGTGTGTGTGTGTGTGTGTGTGTGTGTGTGTGTGTGTGTGTGTGTGAAGGAAATGGAGGGGCTTTTGGCCCTTGGTAGGGCTGAGAGGAAGAGGAAGTTATAAAAACAGTGGTTAGACTAACACACTAAATGACTGCCCGTCCTTTTCTTCATGATGAAAATATGTGCGTACACTTGTCTTCTGTGTGGTGAGTTCATTTGATTTTTGATATTATCTGTATTTGTACGTAATGCAATTTGTTTGTAAATGCTGCAGCTGTACCAACTCGTTGTTTTTGTCCATCGGTTTGTTGTTAGTCATTACTTTCTTTTCCAAGCTCTTGGGAGCAGTTGTTCAGCTGACCTTAAATCAAAACTGATCTCTTGATGAGGTAGAAAAGCAAACAAGACAATCAGCATAACAGTGGATTAATCCTTATTACTATCATAGATGCCTGAAACTACTGCCACGAGGGGGGCTGACTTGGGATGAACTGCACACTGCAGAAACATCTTTCTTTGACAGTTCTTGATGCAAACATTTACAATGAATGATATATTTGACTGTTGAAAGAAAGCCAGATGAGGTACCGTAAAATCCGGTGCATAAAGCGCACATTTAATACCTATTTTTGAATCGAAAAATGCACTGTGTCTTATCACCAGTGCGACCGATGCACCAGTAAAACAATACACCTCGAGTGCAGCCACCACCATCACACACTGCATGCAACATGTCGCAAATTCATCCCCATTCATTGTGTATTGAAAGCTGATTGCAAGCTGTGCTGGGATACAACGCCAAAGACCAGGGGCCGTATTCACAAAGCCTCCTAAGTACTAAGAGTTTCTGCTAGTGACACAATTCTAAGAAAATTCTTAGAATCAGGACATTTTCTAAAAATTTCCCCTTAAAGTTAAGACTAGATCCTTGTAAAGATGAAAGTTATTCACAAAGCGTCTTAGCCCTTAAGAGAGCTCCTAAGGTGTAAAAATGTTAGTAGTGAGGAGGACTTTTAATAGGCTTCTCAAGCTGAGGAGGAAATGGTAAAATGTTCTGCAAATACTTCATGAAGAAGATTCATTGAATCACAGTTGTGCCGAACAGACAAAGATTATTTGTGCAGACATTTCACTACATCCATCTGACTTTTTAAAAAAGTCAGATGGATGTAGTGAGACATGCAAGTTGAGTTTCTCTACATGTGGTTGAATTAATGCATGCATTGACACTATGACATACACTATAAACTAATTACTTTATTTTCACCTGTAGCTCTGAGTGCGGTGCAGATGGAGACTGTCAACATAAATAATCGTGTCGGGGAAAATGTGATCATCAGATGCTCAGGCTGGGACGTTTGGCCTTTTATCACAGAGAATGTAAAGTACTTTTGTGCAAGTCCTTGCACAGAAGACAAACACGTTATCATCAAAGCAGAATTTGGTTGGATCAAATGTAAGGATCGAATTCAGTTAACCAACAGTGAAGATGTTTTATATGTGACCTTCACTGATCTTCAAAAGTCAGATGCTGGAAAATATTATTTAATATTGAGTAGATAAGTCTATTTTTTATTATTAATGTTCTGGTTTAGTGAATCTCACACTTCCTGATGGAGTCATACTAATACTAATTTCTTCCACAAAGCCATGTCAGAACTTGGATTGATTGATTTATTTAAAGGGGGGGACCAAAGTGCCCCTCGTTTTTTGATGATCTTCTTTATGTCATTGATTATCTATCCAAATGGAGCGTAGCGTTAGTTCAGGCAGGCCACGGAGTCACACTCTGTTATCATGCCAGAGTTTCGGTAACAGCTGACCTCAGGCAGCCACATCAGCTGATGGCCAGCTGATTTGCTTCGAAGCGTCTTATTGGCCAAATAGTACATATGCCACCTTATTTAAACTGCTCTAGCCTGCCTACTTTTGCTGCTCCCTCTGCAAGCCGCATTTCCAAGCGCATTTGCAGCCCTTCTCCTCCTCCTTTTCTGCTATTCTGACTTAATCAATGTCATGCTTGTCATTGATGCTTGCTCTGTCGGGGTTTGCTGCTTATCTCCATGCCTTATAGCTTTCCTTGTATGCACGGGAAGGGCAGGAATGTGTGCTGTTCCTGGAGATCCCTCACAGAGCCATACCGCCAAATATAAATAATTGCGTCAAAGTATTCTTTTGACAAAGAATACTGACTGAACTATGTTTTTTGTCAGTTTCTGCAACATATTCACTTTTCACCTTCTAACATTAAACTTTATTTTGTTTTCTCAGAATAATGTTCTGTAGCCGATGACCAGCCGATGCGGCTCCATTTAGACAAACACACATGTATGGGTGCTACCTGTTTAAAATACAGTTTCTACATGCTTGGCTAGGTTATACTGTGAAGACAGATGCTTTTTTGTGGTTGGACGAAAGAAACGGAGCGAGGGGCAGAATACAGATTAAAATGAGAAAGGGGGTGATAAGGAGCAAAGAGATGAGAGAAGAAGAAGGGAGGTCGTCTGAAGAGAAAAGGAGTCAGGAGTAAAAGGTCAAAGAGGCAGGTGAAGGATGAAACGGAGAGGTTAAAGAGGACTGTGTGTGTGTGTGTGTGTGTGTGTGTGTGTGTGTGTGTGTGTGTGTGTGTGTGTGTGTGTGTGTGTGTGTGTGTGTGTGTGTGTGTGTAAGGAAATGGAGGGGCTTTTGGCCTTGGTAGGGCTGAGAGGAAGAGGAAGTTATAAAAACAGTGGTTAGACTAACACACTAAATGACTGCCCGTCCTTTTCTTCATGATGAAAATATGTGCGTACACTTGTCTTCTGTGTGGTGAGTTCATTTGATTTTTGATATTATCTGTATTTGTACGTAATGCAATTTGTTTGTAAATGCTGCAGCTGTACCAACTCGTTGTTTTTGTCCATCGGTTTGTTGTTAGTCATTACTTTCTTTTCCAAGCTCTTGGGAGCAGTTGTTCAGCTGACCTTAAATCAAAACTGATCTCTTGATGAGGTAGAAAAGCAAACAAGACAATCAGCATAACAGTGGATTAATCCTTATTACTATCATAGATGCCTGAAACTACTGCCACGAGGGGGGCTGACTTGGGATGAACTGCACACTGCAGAAACATCTTTCTTTGACAGTTCTTGATGCAAACATTTACAATGAATGATATATTTGACTGTTGAAAGAAAGCCAGATGAGGTACCGTAAAATCCGGTGCATAAAGCGCACATTTAATACCTATTTTTGAATCGAAAAATGCACTGTGTCTTATCACCAGTGCGACCGATGCACCAGTAAAACAATACACCTCGAGTGCAGCCACCACCATCACACACTGCATGCAACATGTCGCAAATTCATCCCCATTCATTGTGTATTGAAAGCTGATTGCAAGCTGTGCTGGGATACAACGCCAAAGACCAGGGGCCGTATTCACAAAGCCTCCTAAGTACTAAGAGTTTCTGCTAGTGACACAATTCTAAGAAAATTCTTAGAATCAGGACATTTTCTAAGAATTTCCCCTTAAAGTTAAGACTAGATCCTTGTAAAGATGAAAGTTATTCACAAAGCGTCTTAGCCCTTAAGAGAGCTCCTAAGGTGTAAAAATGTTAGTAGTGAGGAGGACTTTTAATAGGCTTCTCAAGCTGAGGAGGAAATGGTAAAATGTTCTGCAAATACTTCATGAAGAAGATTCATTGAATCACAGTTGTGCCGAACAAGCAAAAATTATTTGTGCAGACAAGACATGCAAGTTGAGTTTCTCTACATGTGGTTGAATTAATGCATGCATTGACACTATGACATACACTATAAACTAATTACTTTATTTTCACCTGTAGCTCTGAGTGCGGTGCAGATGAAGACTGTCAACATAGATAAACATGTCGGGGAAAATGTGACCATCAGATGCTCAGGCTGGGACGTCTTGATGTATGTAGAAGAGAATGTAAAGTACTTTTGTTCAAGTCCTTGTACAGAAGACAAACACATTATCATCAAAGCAGAATTTGGTTGGCTCAACAGTAAGGATCGAATTAAGTTATTCAACAATGGAGAGGTTTTACTAGTGACCTTCACTGATCTTCAAAAGTCAGACGCTGGAAAATATTATTGTGGAGTGGAGATAGTTGGGATAGATGCATACATAGAGGTGAATGTTAACGTCAAGGATGGTAAGTAAAAACTCTTTATTTTTATTTTAAAACCATCACCACTCTGTCAAAATGTTATAACTGTCCTTACAGCTGATAACTTAATCACTACTGTACTGTGTATGTTTGTTTCAGCTGAGCCTTCCAGTCCCATTAAGACTCCAATAACAGTCACTGTTACTGTAACAACAACCAGCCCTGTTACATCTCCACATGTCTCTGATGGTTTTACTGACATGTCTACGACAAACCAAACCTTAAATACCACAACACTGCCTGCATCTGTGACAAAAGGAGCTGGTAAGAAGTGCACACACTCCACAACCCATTATTCTTTTAATAAATAGTTGTTAAAGAAATAAAATCGACCATAATATATGTATTTATTCATGCTGAACCTGCAGTGTGCTACAAATATTAATGTCAAATTAGATAATAAGATAAGTATAAAAAACATTGAGCACCTGACTGATAAATGAAAAACAAATGTATTTCTATTAGGGCTGTCAACGCTAACCCGTTAGTCATTTGACTAACTTCATTTGCACGTTAATACAGGGTCTCATTCACCTTAAAGGTCACGTTATGCAAAACACATTTCACCATGTTTCTCTAACTCTAATATGTGTCTCTAGTCCGTCTACAAACCCCTCAATGATGAGAAAAGTCCATCCTCTCCATCTTTTGCCTGCTCCACTTTTCAGAAAATGTGTGCTCAAACAGGCCATTTGGAGATTTTCCCTTCATGACATCACAAATGGCAGTAGCCCCTCCCCCAGGTGGGTGACACTCCCACAGCTAGGTGTTTGTTCTGCCCTCTGAGTCTGCCGTCTCACCGTAGACAATTGGTCATGGAGCGAGGAAGGCCTAGCCACCCTTCCAGAGAGGGGGTGTGGTCAAACACAGCTCATTTATATATTTAAAGGAACAGACACAGAAACAGCCTGTTCTGAGCAGGGCTAAAATAGAGGGGTTCACAGACATGTTTTGGGGAGCTATGAGACTTATTTAAACTGGTTGTAGAGGAGGAGAATATGTAACCTTTAAGTATCCTTTTAAAAACATTAAATCTTGAAAACAAACTATAATGCACACTCAGCAGAGAAAGGGAGACCTGCACGACAAGTGACCAAGCAGCTGAAGGCTAGTTATGACTTACTATAGTGAGGATATTACATAAAACTTAGTTTGATCATCAAGCCTGGTGTTCGTCTACAATTCTGTGAACTATCAGTGGAATATAAGACATAAGATCAGCATTATTAACACTCAGATCCTTGTTGTGAAATATCTGTCTCCTCACTGTTCTGCATTATCGTAAATTCAGGGGTTGCATCTCCCCACTGAGCCAAGAGCAAATACTTTTTGAAACATGCTGGATAGCATCAACAACCCAGTAAGAGCTTTATCATAAAGTGTGAACACGACTTTATTCTTCTCACCTTTTTTTTTCCTCTGGTAAGGAAATGTTCTACATCTGAAGATCGCTGTCATTTCCATATCAACACTTCTGATGGTCATTCTGCTTCTGATAAGAAAGATGAAAAACAAGAAACGGAGTAAGACACAAACCACCAAACACACATCGCACACATGTGAAGCGTCACTAAGGCTTTGAGCAGACATAATGACCGATGTTTCCCCTCATCTCTTCAGAGGTTGTGTCAAGTGCTCATGTGCCACAGGAAGATGCACGGGAGGTGAGTTTTCATGAAGTTGGGAATTTATCTGAAGAAAGATCTGTAAGTGCCCTGATACATTTTCTTAGCTCAAATGAGAATCAGGATTGTTTTCTTGCTGTTAGCACTTTTTTCTTTTGATGAAGATAACACATGGAATCCCATGGAAGACGTCCTTTTCCAAGGGCTTGTCATTGTTTTCTTTCCAAAATTAGACTCATAATTCCCACAAAGGAAGGCAAAACTAACATTAACCCACAAGAAATCCTTTATTCTTTAACAAGAGAGCTTCTAGAAATCAGCCAAATATTATTAGTCTCTGTGTTCACGCTGGTCACGCTCCTGATAGCAGTCAAGCCTCACTTTCCTCTCGCCTACACTTAGCACCACAATGCATGATGGTAATTTTGCTTCGTTGGTGACCTTCGGTTGTTCACTTCTTTTTACCCTGTTGTCCCACTTTTTTCTTTTTCAAGGCTGTTGAATCTGATGACATCCGACTTGAAGCTCAGCAACCAGTGAGCCGACATGAAAGGTCGTCGACCCTCTACTCCTCTGCAGATCCAGACAGCATCTACATGAATTACAGATAGTAGGTCAGGGTGACAACTACTATTCAAACAACGTTCCTCTAAATCAAGCCTCCTTCTCCGGGGTCCATTCAAGAGGGGCATCTAACAGAGCAGTCACAGATCAACAATTGAACGATTTATACTCTGTTGTTCAAAAACCCAAACAGCATATCAAACCCACGAGGAAACCAAATCATTCCGGAGGCAAAGACAATGACTCTTTTTATTCTCTGGCTCAGCTAACAACTTAAATCTGATTACGGGGATGTAACGATACATCACGCTACAATTAAAAATTGATAGAAACGTGGACAATTTTAATCGTTGAGACAAAATATATATACTGCAATATTCAATTTCAACCAGAAGGTGCCATATTTTGTTTTATATATGCAGAGAATTTACAATTTTTATTTATTTATATTCACTCCAATCTCATTTATAAAAATGTGAAATACGTGAAAAAATATATTCTAAACCAAGTATCGTGATACATATTGCATCGTGATGTCTATCTTATTCTGAGTTATCTTTACATCCTTAGTGGTTGATGTAATCAAAGACGGTACATTCTGCTATGATTAAATAATAATATTAGTTAAAGTGACTTTTTGTGACTTAAACAAAACATGATCCAAAGATCTAAACGACTCTATGGTCATTACATGACATGTTATTAATTCATTGTACAAATACCATAATTAGGTGAATAATTACAGTCGAACTTTGTATAAATATTTTGAAAAAAGACAGATTGTTAAACGGATGTCAGACACAAACAATAATTCTGTCCGTCATTACTTTTCCATTAAAATATATCTCCTGTTGTAAATTACTTGTGTAAGAGTCTCTATGCCTACTTCCTGTATTTAATAGCGTATGTGTGAAGTTGCTTTTGCTTTTGCTTACACACACAATATCACTCAAACTACTGGCACTTTCAATCAATCTCCTTACACAGAAACACTCATTGTTCTTAACCTTCAAAACAGAGTGTTTTATTCTGAAAATAATGTTTTAATGTTGTTTCAGTCTGACTTCCCGTCCCGCTCAATCTTTTCTGTGGTAAATTGATGTGCCATGCTCCGGCATCTGGCAAAAATAGAAGACTTGTGTATCTGCTAATGAGGGCTCCGTACTGACGGATCTGAGAAGCAGCGCAGCGGAGCCGGTGGAAGCACACACATTGACTAAAGTAAAAACCCATCTGCCGGAACGGAGCAGAGACGGACCAAACACGCATCTGGTGGAAGTTAGGCTTTAGTGTGTGAATGAAGAAATCCCACCCGAGTATTGATAGAAGCAGTATATCCATGTTTAGAGAATTGTATTGGCTACAATAGATGTCAGTCATCGACACATTTGTAATCAATAGGCCGTCAGAACAGGGGGAGGCACCTTCTTTCAACTCAGGCTCTCATTGGCTGTTATGAGGTGTCATCAAAAGGTCAGTGAATAGCAGAGTTGTTTTCTCAGTTTTGTGGATCCTTATGGATGTAACATGTTTGTATTAAATCTTTTACTGGATTTATATTATGGGGAATCATGTTTGGTGGATTTGGTGGAATGGTTAAAAGATGCTGTCTGTGTTTGTCGCTGGTCTGACCCACACACACTGGGCCGTCAGTGTGTGTGTCTGCTGTCATGGACATGTGTAATATCGGTTTTCAAGAAGTTTTCTAACAAGTTTCAACAAAAGAATTCAACAAAGTCTTGATGCCTATGCTTAATTCCTGTTCCCTCTTCAGAATCAGAATCAGAATCCGTGTTTTTGCAGAGTACATTTACACATACAAGGAATTTGATTTGATGTTTTGGTCCAAAACAATTAACAAGGAAATATAAAAACAGCAGAGCTCCTGCGGACAGCTTTTTCTGTCATTGATTATCTATCAAACCTGTTTTTGGGTTTTTTTCAGTTTCTGCATCATATTCACTTTTCACCTTTTAACATTAAACTTTATTTTGTTTTCTCAGAATACTGTTCTGTAGCTGATGACCAGGGTTAAATACGAATACAAGTTCTACCTGCATGGTTAAGTCATACTGTGGAGACTGATGCTTGCTTGTGGTTGGTGCATCTTTCAGCCCTCTGTTGCATGTGGTTAAGCGTCATGAGCGCTTTGCTGCTGTGGATGTTAAGTGTCAGGTGTTTTCAATAAAAAAGTATCTTTGAAGTATTTTAAAATGTTTACTTTCTCTGCTATCTATTTAAATTCTGAATAAAGATATATTTCTCATTTCATGTCTGTATTTTGGTATAATTCAAAAAATTGTCTTACACAAATTAGACCTTGTATTCTGTGGGAATGTGCGTGTGTGTGTTTGTGTGCAGGCGTTTGCGTGTGTGTGTGTGTTAGGGAGGAGCTTCAGCCTTAGAAATGGTGTGAAAGGGGAAGTTCTGGTCAGACTACCCTGATCATTTCTTTTTCTCACATACATTTGTTGTTCTGATCTTTGCACAATCATTTTTTGCACGATGAAAATCTTTGCGTACGCTTGTTGCCCTGTGTTTTCAGTGTTTGTTACAACACCACAAGAACCTGCAGGAGAGGTGAAGTCTGCCATTTTGTGATCTGATACCTAAGAGCTGTTTTTATGGTTCTGTTAGTGAAGTACTGCATCATAGTGAACCCTGTGGCACCATAACGAAGCTCGGCAAATTTGGCTTGGAAGTTTAATTTGTTAACAGTTTAGTAACATTCATTGCATGTTGTGTTCCCAAAGAGTGGAGCAGCTGATAGAGTCTATCAATCCCTCCAGTCGATTACAATGGATGAACACCAAGTCTACAGCACGATCACACCAAACAACGAGGTGACACACAACACACTTTGCCCTACTTGGGCTAATACCTTAAACTCTAACCTGGTACTCCCTGAAAGCAACACCAAGCTCTCTATGACACACACTCTGTCTTTGATACAAACACAAACACACACACACATATTCAGTTAATAGAAGGAAACATATATATGTGCCTCGACCACAACTTCCATATCTTAAAATAACACCAACAAATATTAATACTGACTGTCCAGCCTAGACAATAACGCAGAACTTCCACCAGATTCATGTGCATTGTGTGTGAGCTCCAACGTCCCTCCCTTTCTGTTCACACGGAGGAGTTTAGCGCAAGCGGCAGACCAAATTGACCTTGTTTAGAGCTGCAGTAGCCTGTGGTCTGCATTGTTGTGTTGGGCTATAGTGCTCTTTAGTTAGCTCTTAGCTTCACATTGCATGTAAATTGACACAGAATGACTTTGATCTAAAAACTCTTATGTGACATTCAAATAATCAGTGAGTATATTTTCTTCTTCTCTCTTGTCCTTGACTAAAACAGTTTTTATACACAAGGGGAGGAGCCGGTCGTCCCGTCCATGTAAACACGGCTCTCACAACAACACAGCCAGCGGGACTCGAGCTTCTCACTCATTGTAGACAGTCATGACTCAGAGACACATTTACACAGGATACACTGGATTTCTGATATATTTATGTGTAACATGTTGCACATTCTTCCTTTAAACAAAACAACATTTCCATCATTGATTATCTATCAAACATTGTTTTTTATCAATTTACAAACCATATTCACTTTTCACCTTCTAACATTAAACTGTATTTTGTTTTCTCAGAATACTGTTCTGTAGCTGATGACCAGGGACACACGCTGTGGCTCCATTTGGATTCATTTAGACAAACACACATGTATGGGTGCTTGGAGTGTTTAGAGTACATGTTCTACCTGCATGGTTAAGTCATACTGTGGAGACTGATGCTTGCTTGTGGTTGGTGCATCTTTCAGCCCTCTGTTGCATGTGGTTTAGCGTCATGAGCGCTTTGTTGCTGTGGCTGTTAAGTGTCAGATGTTTTCAATAAAAAGTATCTTTGAAGTATTTAAAGTTTTGTATTTTCTAGGCTATTTTTTTAAATTCTGAATAAAGATTTATTTTTCACTTCATGTCTGTATTTTGGTATAATTTAAAAAATGGTCTTATTATTGTACCTTATGTTCTGTGCGTGCGTGTGTGTGTGTGTGCGTGCGCGTGTGTGTGTGTGCGTGCGAGCGTGCGTGCGTGTGCGTGCGCGTGTGTGTGTTAGGGAGGAGCTTCAGCCTTAGAAAAGGTGTGAAAAGGGAAGTTCTGGTCAGACTACCCTGATCATTTCTTTTTCTCACATACATTTGCTGTTCTGATCTTTGCACCATCATTTTTGACACGATGAAAATCTTTGCGTACGCTTGTTGTCTTCTCTCTGGTAAGTTTTACATTTCTAGAGCTTTACTAGAGCTTGTGAATAAACTGCAGCTTTTCAGTGACTTACTCCTTTGTTTGTTGGCTAATGTCATTGAGTCAGTAAAGTTTTCTTTGCACCATTATTGTTCTACATCATTATAAAAAGAAATGTACATATTTAACTTTATTTTCACCTGTAGCTCTGAGTGCGGTGCAGATGAAGACTGTCAACATAGATAAACATGTCGGGGAAAATGTGACCATCAGATGCTCAGGCTGGGGCGTCTGGACGTATGTAAAAGAGAATGTGAAGTACTTTTGTCCGAGTCCTCGTATGGAAAAAAAAAACACATTATCATCAAAGCAGAATTTGGTTGGATCAAATGTAAGGATCGAATTCAGTTAACCAACAGTGAAGATGTTTTATATGTGACCTTCACTGATCTTCAAAAGTCAGATGCTGGAAAATATTATTGTGGAGTGGAGATAGTTGGGAAAAATGCATACATAGAGGTGAATGTTAACGTCAAGGATGGCAAATATAAACTCTTTATTTTAATTTTAAAACCATCACCACTCTGTCAAAATGTTATAACTGTCCTTACAGCTGATAACTTATTGTCAGAGGGGTCAAGTAACAAAGTACAAATACTTCAGAATAGATCATCTTTAGTAAACGATTTATTTTACCTGTACGTTCACAGTTCAGGGTTAACCCGAGAGGAGGAAAGGAGCAAGCTGCTGAAGAGAAATGTTGATCTTGTTCTTCTCCTTCTTTTCTTAGGTAGTCCTCTATGTTGGATTGTAGGTTTGATTGTTATGATAATCTTGCTAACGGCTGTACTGATGCTTACCAAGAGAATGATGAAGAAGCAGCAGAGTAAGACACACACACCAACTATAGTGGCAGTTTGAGTGCATGCTAAAGATAATAATGTTTCAGATACAACTTGCGGCAATAGACTCTGAAACATTGAGCATCACCAATGTATTATATGTTATCCCAATCATTTATTGATTTGTAATAAGTAAAACATGATGTCATACTCATGCCCTGTGTTTTCAGGGGTTGTTACAACGCCACAACAACCTGCAGGAGAGGTGAGTTCTGCCATTTTGGGATCTGAAACCGTATTTAGAGCTGCTTTTGTTATTGCTGTTAGTGGAGTAATACATTGTAGTGCATTACTTCACTAACACTGAAAACAGAGGTGTTTTATGATAAACATGAGTAATGAGATATTAAATAATCTAAAAGTGAAGACCGGTCTTGAGACCAAGACCAATTTTGAGTACTACAACACTACCTTAATACGGTAGAGGAGGGATCACTTTGTCCCCCCCAATTGGCCTTTACGATATAAAGTTGCTGAATATTATTCAACACAGCCAAGTATGGTTTTAAAGTTCTTTAGTTAGACTTCTGGTAGCATAGCATTGTGTTGTGTCGGCTCTCATAGCCTCATTTCTCTTCTTCGTTTTTCCAACACATATTTCAAACATGAACCAAGAGAGCCCCATTGTGGACCAGTGGAACAGCACACTACCAAACTACAACATCACATGCATAAAACATAAACACAACACACAACATTCACATTGAATGCGAAACATCACAGGGGCATAAATATTGCAGATTGAAATTGCAGTCTTAAAGGGGGCCAAGTTTTCTGTCATGGCCTCTGCTTCCCTTTGCATTGCAATAACAAGTCCTGTTCTGATTGGCTACTTGTTTCAAATTTGGCTTGGAAGTACAGTATAATTTGCTAACAGTTTAGTAACATTAATTTCATGCTGTGTCCCAAAGAGTGGAGCAGCTGATCAAGACTATCAATCCCTTCAGCCTGTTACAATGGATGAACACCAAGTCTCAAGCAAGATCAGACCAACCAACAAGGTAAGACACCACACACACCCGCCCTGCATCTCAGCTCTCTTAAATGATGCCTCCTCTGTCCTCGCTCCTCTGTCAAACCGGAAGTAGTTCTAGACCCGCCATGTTAAGGAGAATCCCAAAGCTCTTGTAACTGAAGGAGGAGAGAGGATAGAGGAGAGATATCTGAGGAGCGATCAGCGAGGATACACAAGAGCTGGTTTTACAGAACTCTTTTTACTGACAGGCACGCCCCCTTATTGAATAACACTCATTGATTGGATGGTCCAAGTATATAAACTTGTCACAGCACACTATCCTGGGAAACTAGGTGAGGGAATTCACGAATCAAGTTTTCTGAAGATTGGGGGAACTCAAACCTGTCAGACAGCTGGTTACTCTGTGCTGGTTACACTCAACAGCAAAAATCGCGACATTGTTATCTCAAAAAACAAAGATAGTTGTACATCTCTCTATCTATCTATTGGGTGCCTCACACGGGCACCAATTATGTGGGGATTTGGTGTATCAAATTTGGCTATTCAATTAATATTAATAATTATGCTTAATTAATTATGAATGCAAATTTACAAAACTGTTAATCTTAATAGATAACTATTGGGCACCACCCTGGAATCAGGAAATTTAAACCAAATAACACAGGAGGAGAGTTTTATTGGTCCTTCCTCAGGTACTGGTGGGCTGTGTTTTCAGCGGTCCTGTCCGGTCAAGTTAAATAATGTCTAAAACAAATAAGAAAAAATAAAACTCTCGATGCTCAACCAGCTAGTCGCTGACCGTGAGCCAAAGCTCTTAAAAACTGACGTTGAAGCTGGGAAGATGAGACACATGTCCTCTAATGCAAGGCAGGGCAAGCACATAAGAAACAAGGCACAATGAAAGACCACAGCTTTGTTTAGCCTGGGATTCCCTACTATTATCACCCAGATCTCCTCCAAGTAGAGATTTGATTCAATGTTCCCCCTACGACTCACACCTAGCAGGCCTTTTGTTTGTTTCCCTCCAAAAAACTCAAATCAGGCCACTTTATGGGGCTACAGCACTTGTTCTGGCTAGTCCAAACACCTGTAGTCCTAACAGGCTTGCAAACGTCACAGCGATGTAATGGCTTTGGATTATTACTACTGAAAGAGCTATTGAAACACAAGCATGTCAATGGAAAATGAAAACTATTAATAGATAAAACATAATTACGGCTTCTTTTTTATGAGGCAGACTGAAAAACAACCACTTTTTTCTTGCATGAATTCTGACATTTCCACCAACATGAATACAGGGGTGGCTGGTATATATGGGCGAGCAGGGCTGAGCCCTTTACATTTCTTGTCTACAATAATAATGAAAAAAAAAATCAAATAAATTACTGATCGTTTCCAAATTTTAGTGGAATCTAGAGTAGCAAACAAACATGATAGTCCACCAATCATTTATCTGTACTGATAGGGTCACGGGGGAGCTGGAGCCAATCCCAGCCGTCAATAGGCGAGAGGTGGTGTACACCCTGGACTGGTTGCCAGTCAATTACAGGCCTGAAATACAGAGACAGACAACCAGCCACACTCACATTCACACCTATGGGTAATTGAGAGTCACAAGTTGGCCTAACGAGCATGTCTTTGGACTGTGGGATGAAGCTGGAGTACCCGGAGAGAACCCACACATGCACGGGGAGAACATGCAAACTCCACACAGAGAGACTCCTGTCAGACGGGGATTTGAAGAAAAACATTCCATATCCAAGATTTATAGCCAAAGCATTGTAGCACCCTCTTCTTTCAGTCCTGTATTGTAAATTTTTGACAGGTTCCATGACTCGTCCCCGTGCTTTGCTGATTATTAGGGGTACATTCATTCAGCCTACAGGCCGCTGACTTCGAAACAATCACACAACTGTAGCATTACAGACTATACAGATAATAAAAAACGTACTCAGCATGTCTACAAGAAAGGATATTTTTAGTTTGAGTTTGTTAAATAATAGGCATTGTTTTTTTGGTTAGAATTATCACAATTGCAATGCTAATTATGTAAGCCAATTAATTGCAGTTTACATAATGTGTTAGCATCAAGCTAGGTGACTATAATGCACATCCCTGTCTATCTCTGATCTAAACTCTGTACCTAAATGCATTTGTGACTCTCTTCTAAGTAACTAATTTAGCAAATTTGTAAATGCAGCGTGTCATGGTCTTTTAGATAAGTCTATTTTTTATTATTAATGTTCTGGTTTAGTGAATCTCACACTTCCTGATGGAGTCATACTAATACTAATTTCTTCCACAAAGCCATGTCAGAACTTGGATTGATTGATTTATTTAAAGGGGGGGACCAAAGTGCCCCTCGTTTTTTGATGATCTTCTTTATGTCATTGATTATCTATCCAAATGGAGCGTAGCGTTAGTTCAGGCAGGCCACGGAGTCACACTCTGTTATCATGCCAGAGTTTCGGTAACAGCTGACCTCAGGCAGCCGCATCAGCTGATAGCCAGCTGATTTGCTTCGAAGCGTCTTATTGGCCAAATAGTACATATGCCACCTTATTTAAACTGCTCTAGCCTGCCTACTTTTGCTGCTCCCTCTGCAAGCCGCATTTCCAAGTGCATTTGCAGCCCTTCTCCTCCTCCTCCTCCTTTTCTGTTATTCTGACTTAATCAATGTCATGCTTGTCATTGATGCTTGCTCTGTCGGGGTTTGCTGTTTATCTCCATGCCTTATAGCTTTCCTTGTATGCACGGGAAGGGCAGGAATGTGTGCTGTTCCTGGAGATCTCTCACAGAGCCATACCGCCAAATATAAATAATTGCGTCAAAGTATTCTTTTGACAAAGCGGTCCTGACTGAACTATGTTTTTTTGTCAGTTTCTGCAACATATTCACTTTTCACCTTCTAACATTAAACTTTATTTTGTTTTCTCAGAATAATGTTCTGTAGCCGATGACCAGCCGATGCGGCTCCATTCAGACAAACACACATGTATGGGTGCTACCTGTTTAAAATACAGTTTCTACATGCTTGGCTAGGTTATACTGTGAAGACAGATGCTTTTTTGTGGTTGGACGAAAGAAACGGAGCGAGGGGCAGAATACAGATTAAAATGAGAAAGGGGGGTGATAAGGAGCAAAGAGATGAGAGAAGAAGAAGGGAGGTCATTTGAAGAGAAAAGGAGTCAGGAGTAAAAGGTCAAAGAGGCAGGTGAAGGATGAAACGGAGAGGTTAAAGAGGACTGTGTGTGTGTGTGTGTGTGTGTGTGTGTGTGTGTGTGTGTGTGTGTGTGTGTGTGTGTGTGTGTGTGTGTGAGTGTTTGTGAAGGAAATGGAGGGGCTTTTGGTCCTTGGTAGGGCTGAGAGGAAGAGGAAGTTATAAAAACAGTGGTTAGACTAACACACTAAATGACTGCCCGTCCTTTTCTTCATGATGAAAATATGTGCGTACACTTGTCTTCTGTGTGGTGAGTTCATTTGATTTTTGATATTATCTGTATTTGTACGTAATGCAATTTGTTTGTAAATGCTGCAGCTGTACCAACTCGTTGTTTTTGTCCATCGGTTTGTTGTTAGTCATTACTTTCTTTTCCAAGCTCTTGGGAGCAGTTGTTCAGCTGACCTTAAATCAAAACTGATCTCTTGATGAGGTAGAAAAGCAAACAAGACAATCAGCATAACAGTGGATTAATCCTTATTACTATCATAGATGCCTGAAACTACTGCCACGAGGGGGGCTGACTTGGGATGAACTGCACACTGCAGAAACATCTTTCTTTGACAGTTCTTGATGCAAACATTTACAATGAATGATATATTTGACTGTTGAAAGAAAGCCAGATGAGGTACCGTAAAATCCGGTGCATAAAGCGCACATTTAATACCTATTTTTGAATCGAAAAATGCACTGTGTCTTATCACCAGTGCGACCGATGCACCAGTAAAACAATACACCTCGAGTGCAGCCACCACCATCACACACTGCATGCAACATGTCGCAAATTCATCCCCATTCATTGTGTATTGAAAGCTGATTGCAAGCTGTGCTGGGATACAACGGCAAAGACCAGGGGCCGTATTCACAAAGCCTCCTAAGTACTAAGAGTTTCTGCTAGTGACACAATTCTAAGAAAATTCTTAGAATCAGGACATTTTCTAAAAATTTCCCCTTAAAGTTAAGACTAGATCCTTGTAAAGATGAAAGTTATTCACAAAGCATCTTAGCCCTTAAGAGAGCTCCTAAGGTGTAAAAATGTTAGTAGTGAGGAGGACTTTTAATAGGCTTCTCAAGCTGAGGAGGAAATGGAGAAATGTTCTGCAAATACTTCATGAAGAAGACTCATTGAATCACAGTTGTGCCGAACAAGCAAAAATTATTTGTGCAGACATTTCAATCCATCTGACTTTTTTCAGTACATGTAGTGAGACATGCAAGTTGAGTTTCTCTACATGTGGTTGAATTAATGCATGCATTGACACTATGACATACACTATAAACTAATTACTTTATTTTCACCTGTAGCTCTGAGTGCGGTGCAGATGAAGACTGTCAACATAAATAATCGTGTCGGGGAAAATGTGACCATCAGGTGCTCAGGCTGGGACGTTTGGTGGAATGTAAATGACAATGTTAAGTACCTTTGTTCAAGTCCTTGTAAGGACAACAAACACATTATCATCAAAGCAGGATATAAAAAGATCAACCGTAAGGATCGAATTGAGTTATTCAACAATGGAGAGGTTTTATATGTGACCTTCACTGATCTTCAAAAGTCAGACTCTGGAAAATATTATTGTGGAGTGGAGATAGTTGGGAAAGATGCACTCATAGAGGTGAATGTTAACATCAAGGATGGTAAGTAAAAACTCTTTATTTTTATTTTAAAACCATCACCACTCTGTCAAAATGTTATAACTGTCCTTACAGCTGATAACTTAATCACTACTGTACTGTGTGTGTTTGTTTCAGCTGAGCCTTCCAGTCCCATTAAGACTCCAATAACAGTCACTGTTACTGTAACAACAACCAGCCCTGTTACATCTCCACATGTCTCTGATGGTTTTACTGACATGTCTACGACAAACCAAACCTTAAATACCACAACACTGCCTGCATCAGACACACAAGGAGCTGGTAAGAAATGCACATAGAGAATTAATCATTTGATTTTCCCGCTTCATGTGCATGTTAAAACAGAGTCTCATTCACTTTAAAGGTGCAAAACACACTTCACCATGTTGTCCTAGCACTAATATGTGTCCCTAGTAGTATGTGTTTAAAGGCATCATATTAAAAACAAACAGGATATGAGGAGCTTTATCATAAAGTGTGAACACGACTTTATTCTTCTCACCTTTTTTTTTCTCTGGTAAGGAAATGTTCTATATCTGATGATCGCTTTCATTTTCATATCAACACTTCTGATGGTCATTCTGCTTCTGATAAGAAAGATGAAAAACAAGAAACGGAGTAAGACACAAACCACCAAACACACATCGCACACATGTGAAGCGTCACTAAGGCTTTGAGCAGACATAATGACCGATGTTTCCCCTCATCTCTTCAGAGGTTGTGTCAAGTGCTCATGTGCCACAGGAAGATGCACGGGAGGTGAGTTTTCATGAAGTTGGGAATTTATCTGAAGAAAGATCTGTAAGTGCCCTGATACATTTTCTTAGCTCAAATGAGAATCAGGATTGTTTTCTTGCTGTTAGCACTTTTTTCTTTTGATGAAGATAACACATGGAATCCCATGGAAGACGTCCTTTTCCAAGGGCTTGTCATTGTTTTCTTTCCAAAATTAGACTCATAATTCCCACAAAGGAAGGCAAAACTAACATTAACCCACAAGAAATCCTTTATTCTTTAACAAGAGAGCTTCTAGAAATCAGCCAAATATTATGAGTCTCTGTGTTCACGCTGGTCACGCTCCTGATAGCAGTCAAGCCTCACTTTCCTCTCGCCTACACTTAACACCGCAATGCATGATGGTAATTTTGCTTCATTGGTGACCTTCGGTTGTTCACTTCTTTTTACCCTGTTGTCCCACTTTTTTCTTTTTCAAGGCTGTTGAATCTGATGACATCCGACTTGAAGATCAGCAACCAGTGAGCCGACATGAAAGGTCGTCGACCCTCTACTCCCCTGTAGATCCAGACAGCATCTACATGAATTCCTCCAACCACCAAGACACCGAATCAGCAGCTCAGGGTGACAACTACTATTCAAACGACGTTCCTCTAAATCAAGCCTCCTTCTCCGGGGTCCATTCAAGAGGGCCATGTTTTAACTCTGTGTACTCTGTTGTTCAAAAACCCAAACACCGTATCAATCCCATTAGGAAACCTAATCAATCCGGAAGCAACGACGATGACTCTTTTTATTCTCTGGCTCAGCTAACAACTTAAATCTGATTACGGGGGATGTAACGATACATCATGATACAATAAAAATCTAATCTTTTTAGGTCGAGTACAATCACTTCTATCTGAACCAGTTCTCTTGCCTGCTTCCATCACTGCAACACCTGTTGGTTTGACCTGATAACTGCTCTCATATCTGGCAAACCGAGGGGCGTCCAAAACAGTCGTGTGGGGGTGCCTTAAAACCGCCTACCTTCTCTGGTCCAAACAAATCCAGAGCATTCAGGACCAGAATCTAAAGTTAGAAGGAGGACATACTGGCTGCTGCATTGTTGTCAGAGAAGCCAGCACTGTTGTAAATTAGTTGTGTAAGAGCGTTTCTATTGGAGGACACTGCTGCTGTGAAATCTGTGAACAAATCAGTGACCCTGCTGGTAATGAAAGTGTGCAAACCTGAGGAAATGTTAGAGATGTTTTATGAAACTTAAATACATCATTCCAAGAAGAAGTGTCAGTGAGAAGCACTCAAATTACATTTCTAACAGACATGTCACACGTACTTTTTCTATCTATGCCTACTTCCTGTATTTAATGGTTTGTTGGTGAGGTTGCTTTCGCTTCTGCTTTCACACGCACCCACGCACCCACGCACACACACACACACACACACACACACACACACACACACACACACACACTTACAGGAATGCTATAAGTGAGTCATGCTTTTGTTGAGGTCATATGGACGACGAGGCAGCCTACCAGCTGAAGTACTTAAACCAGCAATGAAGAAGCAATTGAACAAAATTGAATCCCTCAGAGGAAGACTCACTTCCCCAAAGTGCCACAACTGTTGAACTTTCATCATTTCACAACTCACACTGGCTGGCTAACCTAAATAACTCGCTTTTTCTTTGAAGCATTTTGGCATTCATTTAAAGGTTTTGTGTTAGTATACATGTGAAACTGTTCCTTTAGATGTGATGAAATGTTTGATTTGCATTGTACATTTATTAAACTAAGAGTTTTATACTATTTGGTTTACTAAGGTTTGTCCGTTTTCTCTAAATAATTCATGGCTCACTCAAACCACTCACACTCACACCACTCCTTAGTGTGTGCATGTAGAAATCCACCCCAAGTATTGAGCAGATCCATGCTTAGAGAATTTTATTGGCTACAAGAGATGTCAGTCATGGACACATTTGCATGCAATTGGCCGAACAGACCAGGGGGAGGCACCTCCTTTCAACTCCCATTTGCTAAGGGAAAAACGATTTTTCCGAGTTGTAAAATGCAACAACATTCCGACTTTCCGACCTGAAGTCACGTGAACACGCCAAAGTCGGAAGAACGACTTCCCAACTCGGAAACTTGGACCACCCGAGCAGCACATGAATGCAGCAATAGCAGAGTATTTTGAACAGTTTTGTGGAGCCTTATGGATGTAATGTGTTTGGATTAAATCTTTTACTGAATTTATATCGTGGGGTGGATTATTATGATCAGCAGAGTTCATTCAATCTACAAATGGTTAAAAGACGCTGTCTGTTTGTATGTCGCTGGTCTGACCCGCACACACTGGGCCGTCAGCGTGGGACAAATTTAAATAAAACAAATCAACAGTGCCGATGCCTATTCTTAATTTCTGTTCCCTCTTCTATGTGTTGTTTCACTCTCTCTTTCCACAGTCTCAGATAACAAAGTCCAAACACCACACACACACTCATGCACAGACAAGCACACACTCAGCAGAAGTCACCTTGGCAGCAGGGAATGCCCTCCAGTAGCGGTTCTTGCAGGGCTCGGAGAACGAGAGCAGCTTGAAGTTGTTGTTATGGTTGTTACAGTCGTTGTGTACATTGACCACCAGGGAAGGAGCGTGGTGGCCTGGGGTATCGGCTCTATTGCCAATGACAGTCAATGACACTGCTGCTAAGTGAAAAGGATTAGCCAACTGTGTGTGTGTGTGTGTGTGTGTGTGTGTGTGTGTGTTTCTGTGTGTGTGTGATGCAAAAAAGTGCGGCAATAGTTTTGCTTGAAAGATGAAGTACACTTCATCCAACAAACTACAAAGCAATCAGGACGGCTTCATATCTTCATATACAATGTTACAATGTTACAATTCACTTAGCAGATGCTTTTATCCAAAGCGACGTACATCAGAGAGCAAGTACAACACTAATCCATTCATTGACCACCACCGAAGCAGCGGGAGCAATGCGGGGTTAAGTGTCTTGCCCAAGGACACATCGGACATGTTGCCCAGCTGGGGATCGACGGCTCTACCAACTGAGCTACAGCCGCCCATATAGTGACTGTAAAAGTCCCACTAAAGACTCGTTTATGCTCTGCGCCCCAATACACATACAGATGTGGACGAGGCCTTCTGCCTGTACTCTGCCCTCATTTCGTCCATCTCTTTGCATGTTTTCTGGAAGCTTAAAGATATGGACCAAACCTTGCAATACCACAAGGGGTCAGTGGTGAGTAGTGTAGCCAACTCTCCAAGCCAGACCAGCAACACACAAAGTTTCTGTGTAAAAAAAGGTATGAGTACTTAGGTATTCATTTGTGTCTCAAGTCAAATAGAGAGCCTTTTGCTAGGCCTGGCCTGCATGCATTGTGCTAATGTTAACATAGAATGGGAAGCACTCGTGGACTGGCGGCGTACAGCGTTAAACACATGGCACTCCTGATATTTAATGCCGGGCTGCTTCCACAAATGTTTCGGCATGATGCCGGTGTTTCCACCCTTGCTTGACATCACACAGCCACAGCAGGCATGTGGAATTAAGTGGAAGGTATTGATAAGGGGAAAATTAAGCAGAAAGGCAAAAGATGTCGATGGCTCCATCAGGTTGGAACCGTCCCGCTCTAAATAAATGAGTCTTTAAAAAACTACTTGCAGTGTATTTGACTTCTGTCGGAGGAAATTAAATGCTGACAGGCACAGCACTGGTGAGGAAGAGTTTGTCTGGAGCGTATTCTTTTGAGTTATAATGACCTAATCATAAAATAGATTAAGTGTTTGCTTTAGTGAAACTGAACTTTTTGTGTATATATTTCTCTGATGTGAACGCTAGGAGAATTAGTTTAGAAAGTATCATATGTGCCTGCTTCACAGCCCTCCTCTACATCACACAGTATGAATCCCCAGCTTGTTTTTTCCAAAGTCATAAAGCAGAAGCGCTTCAAAACATAAATACAGTTACTACACAGCCTGCGGGAGATAATAATGTTCAGGAGGAACGCCACAGCTCTCCAACAGTGCAGAATTAAGAGTCGGGTACTAAAATCGTCCTAACTCACACAGCTCACAACGAAGAAAAGAAAGTTTGTAAAAGATTCATGAATGTATGAGGTAGATCTTGCACTTTGTGCAGGCTTTAGCTGCTAAAACGAATAAAGCTGCAAACTCTGGTGATGAGAAATGAAGCCAATGCAGAAGTGCAAAAGACTGCAATTCCTCGAGTGTCCCCTTGAGGCTGGCTCCAAAAGCCTTGGAAGTCCCATTTAAAGCAAAAAATAAAAATAGACAGGATAACAGCCATCTGTCGTCATTGGTACAAACTGTATGACGGGTGATTCAGGGGCAGGCTGAGCTGACACAGTGGTTTCAGCTCCATCCATCCATCCCTTTTCTTCTGGATATCCGAGATCGGGTCGTGGGGGCAACAGGTGAAGTAAGTCAACCCAGACATCCCTCTCCTCAGCAGCGTTTTCCAGCTCCTCCTGGGAGATTCTGAGGCGTTGCCAGGCCAGACGGGATATATAATACCCCAGTGAACTCTGGGTCTACCCCTGGATCTCCTCATAGTTGGGCGTGCCCTGAATACCTCCAAAGAGAGGCATCCTGATCAGATGTCCGAACCGCCTCAACTGGCGCCTTTCAATCAATCAATCAATCAATCAATCAATCAAACATTATTTTCCAATTCATAACAAGTGTTATCTCAAGATGCTTTACAATGAAGACAGGTAAAGGACCTTACTCACTGTTATGTTACAAAAGAAAATGGGATTGGGGAGATGGGATTCCTCGTGTTCCTGTTGTCCACACTTCCTTGCCGCTGAGGTGGAGGACGGAGAAGGCTGGCGGGGGTTGTTGAGTCGACACAGTCCGATGGTGGTGGCTGGGCGTCAAGGACGTTTGATGCAAGTGGTTTCAGCTCTGGTTTGATTTTTTGTTTATGTGCTGTATAAATATGCTGCTCTAACGTTTGTATTTCTCCTGCTTTCAAAGGAGATAAAACAGGAGGCATGACATTTCTGAGCTCAATTTTGTCTTAAATCAGTGAAGGTACAGACGTTAGTGCTGTAATCCTTCTTTGAACATGTGATGCTGGCATTTATTTATGTTAATCAACATTTACCAAATTTCCAGCTAATGATAGGTTCACTGCTTCTCTGCAAATGAAACTGTGTGGGAGTGGAACCCTGCTGAGTCTAATGAGACACACAATCAATGTGAAACTGGACAAAAATGGTTCCTACCTTCATTCCTCACAAAAGGATGGTCGATATTTTTGTACAGGACTTCACAGAGACGAGGACATCAGCCAATTAAAAGCCTTTCCAATTTCTGTTCTGGAATCAAATCGACCAGGTTATGAGCACACCTAGGGTTCCTAAGTGCCTTAAGCTAATTAGTTTCTACCCCCTGCCCGTGCCTCAAAAGTCAAAGATAACAATTACAATCCGACCGCCCTGAGTTGCACTTCCGATGTTAGCCAATTACAGCTACTTTCAAAGTCACATCATCCGATTACCTTCCCTTGCCACCTTGGATCCTGCAGACCATTTAGCCAATTATAACTCTCTCACACAATGGGCTCCCACGGCCGCCGCACACAAGCAGTTCCTGGAATCAGCGAAATCGACATCATGAAAAGACATCACTCGCTCAATCCTTCCAAAGTTCAAACCCTGTTATAAGCAGCTATCAAAGCCCAAGTGTGGTCTCCTCACATCACAGCGGAGGTGAGCTTGCCCCCGTGCACCTTCTCGTCATGATAATATGACACTTTACCTTAACAGGAGTCCGATAACGATGGTGCAGACATGGCAGCTTAGGGTGCTGCAGGCGCTTTCAGGTACATTAATGAAGAGTTTCTCATGTCTGAGTTGCGCTCACTGAGCTGCCCTGAAATTATTGAAATGAACAGCAAGT